CACTCACTGCTCTGACCATGTGAATGAGCCGTTGTTTGCTGCTAAAAAGTTTTAGTTTTAACCTGCAGCACAGAATAATGGGAAGATTAAAAAAGCAGTTCTCTGTGTGCAAAGGAGCCGAAGCTGTTGCGGGTTTTGGCTCCGCTGTCTCTGCTCTGATCCAGTAGAACGCATAGATGCACTTATGAGAAGTATGCGGCTTGAAATGGCTGTTATTTCAAAGAACGTGGAATATTTTAAACTACGCGGTTAACCGGTTTCAACAGGTTAATGAGGCTCGGTGGTCGGTCATGAAAATTCATAGTTTTTTACATCCCTACTCTACGTACAGTCTCCTTTTCTCTCTCACGCGTTTACTATAATAAACTGCCATACGGCCAACATACGCTACAAAGACCGCAGCTAGAAAAGGTTTGCCACTAGCTTAGCAGAAAGCAAGCAGCAAGCTATCGGCAAACTTCCGTCTTTGGGAGATCACCATGGCAACATGTGCCGCACGGCTGTATGCTGTTGTGACGCTAATGTAAATGAAAAATGTGGGTATTGGTTCCCCGGATAGGGTTCTATGGTACGAGTGCGAGTACAAGCCTATAGCCTAGTGTATACTTGCGCGGCGCTGCTTACGTTAGCAGTTGCGGTGGACCTACGCAAGCACAATTTAATTTATACTCCTTGCAGAGTTTTGATGAGAATGTTGTAATCCCACAACCAACCACATGATGGCGATCTCACAGGAGTTCCTTGAGATACCAAAGCAGTCTCATTTACGCTGCTACTTTCTCCTCTTCAGAACAAAAACATGAACAAACCGAGCTGTTTGAGCTCATTACATGTGTTTCTACTGTAGGTTTATGTGATAGTTCTATGGACTCATTATTTCTTAACTCATTTAACTGTGATGTTGTGAATAATGACAAAGTTCTTGTTGGAAACATAGTTTTTATTAAATTGTATTCAGCACAAACAGCAAAACAATAAGTAGTAAATATCTGAGGCAAACATGAACAATTTATAAGTGCAGGAGGAATGGAACAGAAGCGATAAGCTATGAGTGCAGATTCAAACAAAGACAAGAACAGTGCAAAAGAAACGACTGCACAGTTTACAACTTATATATAGTGCCTTGCGAAAGTATTCGCAATTGAACCTATCAACATTTTGCCATATTTCAGGCCTCACACATAAAGATATAAAAAAAAAAATTTTTGTCATGAATCAACAACAAGTGGGACACAATTGTGAAGTAGAACAAAATTTATTGGATAATTTAAACTTTTTTAACAAACAAAAAACTGAAAAGTGGGGCGCAATATTATTCGGCCCCTTTACTTTCAGTGCAGCAAACTCACTCCAGAAGTTCAGTGAGGATCTTTGAATGATCCAATGTTGTCCTAAATGACTGATGATGATAAATAGAATGCACCTGTGTGTAATCAAGTCTCCGTATAAATGCACCTGCTCTTTGAGTCTCAGGGTTCTGTTTAAAGCGCAGAGAGAACCATGAAGACAAAGGAACACACCAGGCAGGTCCGAGATACTGTTGTGGAGAAGTTTAAAGCCGGATTTGGATACAAAAAGATTTCCCAAGCTTTAAACATCTCAAGGTCACTGTGCAAGAAATTATATTGAAATGGAAGTAGTAGTAGTAGTAGTAATCTTTATTTATATACCGCCTTTTCACTGCACATCGGAGTCTCAAAGCGGTTTACAATTGTTATTTTTTGGGAGTGGGGGTGCCAGTACAGGAGGCACATGCCAGACCTATTGTACATATTTTTAGTGGTAGGGGAAACCGGAGCACCCGGAGGAAACCTACGCAGACACGGGGAGAACATGCAAACTCCACTCAGAAAGGCCCTGGTCCAACCGGGATTTGAACCCAGGACCTTCTTGCTGAGAGGCGAGAGTGCTATCCACTCAGCCACCGTGCCGCCCACCGTGCCACTGATACTCCTTCCGTGCTGGAAGGAGTATCAGACCACTGCAAATCTACCGAGACCCGGCCGTCCCTCCAAACTTTCATCTCAAACAAGGAGAAGACTGATCAGAGATGCAGCCAAGAGGCCCATGATCACTCTGGATGAACTGCAGATAACTACAGCTGAGGTGGGAGAGTCTGTCCATAGGACAACAATCAGTCGTGCACTGCACAAATCTGGCCTTTATGGAAGAGTGGCAAGAAGAAAGCCATTTCTCAAAGATATCCATAAAAAGTCTTGTTTAAAGCTTGCCACAAGCCACCTGGGAGACACACCAAACATGTGGAAGAAGGTGCTCTGGTCAGATGAAACCAAAATCGAACTTTTTGGCCACAATGCAAAACGATATGTTTGGTGTAAAAGCAACACAGCTCATCACCCTGAACACACCATCCCCACTGTCAAACATGGTGGTGGCAGCATCATGGTTTGGGCCTGCTTTTCTTCAGCAGGGACAGGGAAGATGGCTAAAATTGATGGGAAGATGGATGGAGCCAAATACAGGACCATTCTGGAAGAAAACCTGTTGGAGTCTGCAAAAGACCTGAGACTGGGACGGAGATTTATCTTCCAACAGGACAATGATCCAAAACATAAAGCCAAATCTACAATGGAATGGTTCACAAATAGACGTATCCAGGTGTTAGAATGGTCAAGTCAAAGTCCAGACCTGAATCCAATCGAGAATCTGTGGAAAGAGCTGAAGACTGCTGTTCACAAACGCGCTCCATCCAACCTCACTGAGCTCGAGCTGTTTTGCAAGGATGAATGGGCAAGAATTCCAGTCTCTCGATGTGCAAAACTGATAGACATACCCCAAGCAACTTGCAGCTGTAATTGCAGCAAAAGGTGGCGCTACAAAGTATTAGCGCAAGGGGGCCGAATAATATTGCACGCCCCACTTTTAAGTTTTTTATTTGTTAAAAAAGTTTAAATTATCCAATAAATTTTGTTCCACTTCACGATTGTGTCCCACTTGTTGTTGATTCTTGACGAAAAATGTAATTTTTATATCTTTATGTTTGAAGCCTGAAATGTGGCGAAATGTTGAAAGGTTCAAGGGGGCCGAATACTTTCGCAAGGCACTGTATATGTTAGATATGCAACAGAACTCTAGTCCACAGTCTCCGCGTATATCAGGCTCTGCCATGAGCCCAAACTACTTTTCCTTTGGTTTGCGGCGACCCTTACGTAGTATGCTGCGCGGCAGGCAACGTAAGGGCCTTGCGGCGACCAACGCGTTGCGCAATTGACGTCACGTCACCTCCGTGCCGCGCGAGTATACACTAGGCTTAAGGTATCGACCCTATACCCGATACCAGTATTGGTCAGCGCAGTCTTTGAAACAATATAGGGAACAAACCGGGGGCCCGCATCCACATGACGCTCCTCCAGAAAAATACAAAGCAACAACAAGCATGGCTGAGCTAACCAACCCACCTTGCCGTGAGATCCGACCGGCTCCAGTCACCTTATACGCCACACTTTCCAAACACACTCTCTCTCAGTGCTCACACCGTTTACTCCAAGGCCTGCACACAAGCCCACGTTACCCGCTAAGCTGCTGCACATTTGAGAAAGACACATCTCACAACACCTGTTCACACTGACTCTCAATAAAAAGAACGCAATCCATGCTCAAGCTGGTTGGCGCAGAGTAGGGTTTAATATTTTTCCCGAAAATGAGATATATACAATCCCGGGAGAAGACAACGCTTTTCCCGGGAAATCCGGGTTTTTTTTTAAGTTGTTGTTTTCAGCCCAAGTAATGTATGATATCACTCAAATATGCGTTCCCAAATCGCAAAATGGCATTTTGATATTATTTGTGTCATTATTAGGCCAAAAGAACACACAGTTTATGCCCATCGATAAAGTGTGCAAATATCATTTCTGCTGCGTGCGTGATAGGCTCTGCCGCAGCACGCTATGAAATGCCAAGTGGCAACCCGGTCCCTTATAAAACCCATATATTACAGATTAACTGACGAAATCTCCTAAAGTAAACCATGGAATGATACCTAAAACATTCTGATAAACAAAATCCATGATGTGGCTATTGAGATTTGTTAACGGCTGCACAGTGCACACGGGAATAATCACTCTAAGTTAACAAAATGTTCCTTTATTAAGGCAGGACAGGCATATTATCTTTTAAACATCACAAAGTACAAATAAAATATATAAAACGACCCATAGAAATGTGCAACTGTGCAGTGCGCACAACAACAACAAAAATACAGGGCCATAGGCCTAGAGGCTAAAACTGAGTGGAAACAATGATAATAATAATAATAAAAGCCTAAACACTCTGCCGCAATATCAACATTGCATTGGAAAGCATTTCATTTCTCATCACCTTGCCCTTCTTTATTTAATTTCTGAAAATGTGCTTTTAAGAAGCAGAGCGCATTCACTGACTCTGCGCTCAGGCGGTTTCGGATTTTTGTAACAAATTGGCCACAGATAGAGAATGCTCTCTCCGCCTCCACAGATGTAGCCTGAATAGTGCTGAGTGATTCAAATAATTGTTGCAGGTGGGGTGGCCTCCTGTGGGTGGCTTTGAAGAGGGAAAACTCTTTGGTTAGAATTTTCATGAAATTCCCGTCTTTCGTTTCGTCTGCGGCTGGCTTGGTGGTCATTGAAATGGCCTGTTGCAGATCTAACGCTAGGTTCCTTTCATTCTGAGTACTCGAGACCTCTTCAGCCGGATTCGGGGCTTCCCCTTGCGCACTCAATGATGTCCCATATATTGTCTCCGAAGACGCACCATCGCTCTGTTGCTCTCTCTCCTCATCATGGCAGCGGGTGACAAAGAGACGCTCCACAAGTCCCTTAGCGGTCCTCAACAGCATCTGCCTTGATGGCATGGAAAAGATTTAATTGGGCCTTGGTGCTTGTGCGACTAAAGCACCAGGATCCAGAAGGTACCTGATAGAAATATTGTTAATGTTAATTGTAAAATGAGCATATTGAAAATTACAATTCAATTAATAATTAAGGCTACATTCCGTAGAAGGCCTACCTGTACAAAGACACTAGGTTCTTCTGTCTTCGCTGGGTGAACCTGCTCTCAATTGCATCTCTCATCTCTTGGCTCAGTCGAGTCTCCTGCTTTCTCAGCTGATCAATCATGAAAATAAAAATCTGCCTTAATGAGAGTGGTGTCTCGCTTACACAGAGATTCGACTCCCATCCTCACCGGTTTCAAGCAGGAGCTCAGTTGTTTTATAAGCGCGAGCTGCTCGTTGGTAATTATTAAAGCAGGATTAATGTCAATGAGGGTCTTGGACACTGTTTTATGGAGTGCAATGTAGCAATCCAACATATCAGCCAGGCTGTTCCAGCGGGTACGGCAATCCAAAATGAGCACTAACTCTTTCCCATGATCTCGTTTGGTGCATTCTCTCAGCTTGTCATTACTGACAGGTGACTTGTGGTAATGCCTGGCAATTTTTCGGACTCGCTCCACGCTCATGAACATTTCTTCTCTCACCCTGACTGACCGATAGCCACCATCCACACACTCGGCAGAATCTTCATCAGACTCGGGGCCACTGTCCTCCTCTTCCTCGCTTTCAGTCTCCATCACTCTCTCAGGGACATCAGCCAGCTCTTCTCGGTGAACACGCCGGTAGAGCACATCTGTGACAGCCAGGTGAACAGCATGCGCATAGCACAGCTGTAGTTTAGGAAGCACCAGTCTGCCGAACTTCACCATCACTGATGCTCCATCAGTAGTGCAGCACACAATATTTTGCTCCATGTTAAGCTTGAATCTATGAAGATGAGAGTCAACCAACTCTTTTATTTTCTCAGCTGGCATTGTTCCATTAATGTTTACGACACCTAGATTTCAGTATGTGTGTGCGCCATGCACGTTTATGCTCATGAACCTTTTACGTTGTGAAGATGTATATTCGTTGATGGTCAAAGAAAAACGCATCCCTCGCTTCACCATGTCTTGGAATATATCGGCCAGTTGTTGTGTTTTTTCATTAGCAAAACCCCTAACCTGTTGGGAGATTTCAGAGGGATTCTTGGGGAGAATATGTCCGCATCTCTCTTAAGTGCTGATCTGAGATAGTCGCTTTTTGCCATACTATTAAAAGTAAAGCCAGCAAAAGCTGCCATCCCCGCTAGTATTTCACCAAGCGTCTTGTTGCTAGCTTTGCTAAAGTAGCCATCTAGCGTTTTTACACGTTTTGATGATGGGCATTCATGATGATGGACCCGCTGCAGTTCGCCAATTGCCTTTGCAAGCAGAGTTGAAGACAACCATCATCTCCCTCCTACCAAAAACGCCCACCTGGAGACGCTCCGGCTCCGCTGTGAGGACATTGTCATTGTTGTTGTAATTGTTTTTTATTTCTCGTGTGCCCTCAAACACCCATCCAGAGCGATTTTCTCAAGTCGCGTTCGACCGGATAAGGCATTGCGTTGCTTTCAATGCAAAGTCAATGGTGACGCACGTTAAGACGCGTCCAAAACGCATGGACCTACGGAATGCACGCAGGATCGCGCAGTAGAGACGCACAGACTGCGGGGAAAAGTCCAAAGGGGAGGAGCAGGAGAGGAAAATCGGCGTACGCAGAGATAACACTTTGCTCAACCTTTCCTCGGGTCGTTTCGTGCAGAACCAATCAGAGAGCCACAAAGTGGTACAGGGGACATTGGTGGCCTGAGCGAGCAGGAATGAACATACTGTAAACAGCCAAAAGAGGAGCTTCTCCAGGGGACTAAACCAGGGTGACAATGGGGGACTGTGTGCTTGCGAAATTTTTGCGTTGTCATGCTCCCGTGACTTTATGCAACTGATTCGAGTGTGTTCGCGATGCTGGAAGTACGTATAATAATAAAATAAACTTATTGCGCACCTCCATGAACACAATTACTACTGTTACTGTAATTATCAAAGTCTGTGGAAGGTCTGCTGAACACAGGAAACCCTACCAAGCATGGTTTATTGGAGAAGATCTTCAGACGTGAGCGCTAGCTAACTCAGTTAGCATCAGAGACGCCGCCCATTCCAGGCACTTTCCGGCACTGGTTAAGGACGTTTGGTGTGAAAACTCCTGCGTCTGAAACTAGAGATAGGCGATCTGGCGAGTGGGGCTTCAGTGTTCCAGCGGTCTGAAACGCGATTTAGGGACAAGCTGGGAAACGGTGGAGAGGACTATATGACCTGGCTGAGGTGAACCCTCCTTGTCCAAGGTCCTGGACAAACCAACATCTACGCTGGACCATGACTGTCACGCTTGAGGTACTCCATCTTGCTTTGTGAGCAGACATCAGTGAAGACGCAACCAACATTTATCTATCTTATTAATAATAGATCTGCTTGATGTGTGGCGTAATCATGAGTGCACTGATTTCCTAAGGTTATACTGAGGTATTTTATTTTCACTGGACGAATCATGTCTATAAGGTTAACATTAGCTGCTTTAGGCTTCTACCACATTATTTGTCAACTACTGTGTCAGTATGAACAAATTTAACATGGCAGATTAATTAACTTGGAAGCATATGCTAACTACTGTGTCACTGTTGTCGGGCATCGAGGGAGCAGTGCATAGGGTGCCATTGCGTTAAATAATGAATATTCACAGTAAGCAGCATTTCATGTTGCTTTGTGCCGTTACCACTACTCAAGAGGTTACGTGTTTCAAGTAATTCAGTCTCTGGACTTAGCTATATAGAGGTTGAAATGCAAGAGTAAGGTCATTTTTTGACATTATGAAGATTATTTTTTTTTTTTTTTTTTTTTTTTTTTTGGAATTGAGAGAGCAATTTATTCGTCCAGCTGTGGGAGATTTTAGTGTTGAATCACTAGTTACAGAACAGTAAGAATGAGGAGCACACAGCATAGATAAATTATCTTTACTTTATTAAAATAACAGCACCACCATTATCTGTGTCTCTTGAGGTAAACGGTATAATAGTTGCCTTTCATTTGATGCTCACAAAGTATACTGGCAAGTATGTAACTTCTAAAGCACTAATTACACATTTTGTAACAATTTATCTGCAAATTGAGGGTTGTTGTTTTTCTGGGGGGGAAGCTAAGATAAGATAAACTTTATGATCTCACACTGATGAAATTTTACATGTCACAGCTGGCAAGGTTAGGCCAAACACTAAAGAGATTGTGCAAAAGAATGAAATGTGCAAACATGTTAAATGCAGGATATATTATGTTACAATCAAAATAATGGCAATTAGAAAAGTGGCAATCAAGAAAACAGTGTCAATTGTTGTGCAGGTTTTTTTTCAAGTCCTAATGCATGTGAATTAAAGTGACTAATTGTACAATCTGACAGCGGTGGAGATAAAGGCACTGCGGTAGCGCTCCTTCTTCCACTGCGAGAGCTCCTCAGCTCCGCTACAGTCCTGTGGTCAGTGGCTGGGGAGGTGATGTCCATGATGGAGGTGACTTTGGCTAGCACCCTCCTGTCACTAACCACCTCCACAGAGCCGTGAGCAGCCCCGAGTGGAAGCTGGCCCTTCCTGACAAGATTGTTCAGTCTACTCCCTGTTCCGCTCTGTGCTGCCGGGTCCAAGCACCACGGCATCGTAGTAAATAGCAGAAGCTACAACAGAGTCTAAAATGTCCTGGCAGAGGCCTGCTCACTCCCGAAGGACATCAGTATCCTCAGAAGGAAGGAGGCGGGACTTTGGTTTCCTTCTGTGCAGGGCGTTGGTATTAGGACCAGTCCCAGTTTTATTGTTATGTGAACACCAAGGGTATTGAGGTGTCCAACAGCTCAATGTCCTCACCTGGATGTTCAGCAGAGTGTGGGTGTGGTTGGCTGGCTCGGGCTCTGTGGTGGACTCAACCTGGACTCAACTGGACTCAACCTGGTCTCAACCTGGACTCAAACCTGGACTCAACCTGGACTATGGACTCAACCTGGACTCAACTGGGACTCAAACCTGGGACTCAACCTGGACTCAACGGACTCAACTGGACACAAACCTGGGGACTCAACCTGGACTCAACCTGGACTCAACCGCGAAGGCAGAGGAACAAGCAATTTATGAGCGATTATCATGTCCAACCAGAACGATCCCCTGCATCCATCTTGTTTGAGATAGGAGCTCTGTGAGCACCAGACTCCTAAGCGGGCTCAACTGCTCAAAACACTCTGTTCTGCCTCATGCCACCGGGCTGTGCAGTGCAGCTACCACAGGAAGAACCAGATTTCCACTGGAACTTTACAATTTATTTATGTACTATTTTTAATGTTTTACTTTTTCATCTTTTTATTCTTTCTTTTATGCACAAGTGGGATGTGAGCAATTGGACTATACAATTTCCCTCGAGTTCAAATAACAAGTATATATCCTATAAGACAAAGCTGGCAATTCCATGGGGATCACAAGGAGGCTTTGAATACACATAAAAGGAGCCACCATCACATCTTTTTGTGTGTATCCTCCTGAAACTATTTTAAACAAGTAGGGTGCTGTAGCACTTCGATATGGACTTTTTTGGAGGATATTATCATCAATAGCTTGAAGTGGAATATGGATGGCAAGAGCAATTAGATAAATTTGTCTTTTTTGTTATGGGTATTTTGAAGGATTTGTTTTTAATCGATGCAAAAAAACTCATTTAATATTAAAAGGAAAAAAAAACTGTTTTTAAAACCCATCATAACTACATATAGGGTTGGAAAAAAATTGCTTTGAAGAATCTATATCATTTTTTTTAAGTCAATAACAGGTATAAACATGTTTATCATCTTCATCTGATCCCCTCAAGTATTCTAAAAAATCCTTCAGCAGCAAAAACAAATAAAGAGCTCAGAATTGTAATGGGGCACAGCAGGGTGGCAGACTGCAGAGTCAGAAGTTCTCCATTTGGATGTCCAGTAAAAACAAGAAACCATAAAAGCAAGTATTCTCACATCTGTGCCAGGCTGCTCCAGCAAACGTTGCAACCCCCTGCAACTTATGAACACCCATGTGTGCTCTCTTTATAATTCCTAAGAAAAAAATGCCTCTTGATTCTCAGTTGAAAAACTATACAAGAGCTTTTTCGAATTTGTCTTATCCAAAACATTTACAACTTTGCATCAGTTCAAATCTCATACATGATGAGAGTGAGAGTGAATTTACTATAGTATCCTAAAGTTATACATCCTAGTACTATATTAATATCTGGAAATTAATACTTAAATATTACAACTTCTGTACCCTACCAAGATGACAGTATATGCCATCCCTCCTTTTTCTTCCCGTATTCCATTTCTGGAGTCAGCAGGCACCCAATAGGGTGGCAAGATGCCACCCAATGCACAAAACATCCTCCTGAAGGTGGTGAGTACACAGGTGGATGGCTGATCTGTCGACTGCCACAGCCTCGGTTATGCTTCCCAAATAAATACAATCCATTTTGGTTCTGCTTCAGTTCATTATGGAATTTAGTGGATTTAGATTTATTGTCATCATTACATAATTATTACAGAACATAAAAAGATTTTGACCATACAGCTGAGGTACTTATTCTGTTTCTAATGTGTGTGCCAAGTTGAAAGGAAGGAAATGGAGTGAGACGATCATTTCAGTAATTTTATAGAAAACAAAGATACTTTAATATCTTATTCTTCTGCTAATCGAAGTTTAAGATAAACAAGCTCAAAAAGCTAAATTATGCACAAAAATTATGGATTGAATATAATCATCTGTCAGGCATTCACAGTCATGACCTCCTGATAGAAAAAGGTCTTTTATCTGTTTAATGTGGTCAGATTGTCGAGCTGCAGTCAAGGACAATCTACATGGCATTTTTACATGCATGTAAAAAACTAGTAATAGAAGCAA